CACGATTCGATCTTTTCCTTTCGTTTTCTTCTGGGTCTTTATGTCAACATGGTACAACACATGAACTTCAAAGCAGGGGCGTAGCGAAGGCATTTTCTTAATGGGGGTGCTAAAGTCAATTTAAGGACTTGTAACTTATTCGCCAACTTCGTGTCCTGTGAAATGGAAGTCCGTGGTGGGTTACATTTCATGCTTCGATGAAATGCCGACGGCAAACATATATCGTTTGTGTACCAATGTTGAACTCATTTGCCAACCAAAGCTCTATTTGCCGACGGGGAGGGGGGCACACCCACCCTCGATCGCTACGCCCTTGCATCAATACGCGTATGAACGTCAATTTTGATCCTGAAGTGTGCAGAAACAATTTACGTCATGATGACGTCTTCTGGTGTCAAATTACAAACGATAAAATTGGATATTTTCAAGTTTTAAAAATCCAAATAAAGTCAATTTTGAGATACCCATCTTGCGTTTTTTGCGGCAAGTGAAATGATGAGTGTTGTCAACCGGCGATCTAATCACGATACGTCTTTTTTCCCGTACATATAAGTTATAACCTCACAATTGTTGCTATCCACGTCGAAGCATTTATTGGATACCAAGTCAGTTAAAACATTATGCAAGACACCGCATCCTGTAGTATTTTTATCTCCATCTTTTCCGAAAACCTTATAATTTGATGGGAATGTTTAAATACAGTGTACTTTTAATGGTCGAATTATTTTAACCATGACTGCAGAGAATGTCATGTGAATAAGGACTTGTAGATCAGTAACCTTGCCTCTAATGCTTCGGGTGATAAGAGACATCGTAATTTTGCTTTTGTGAAAGTTTTCCTGCTTGCACCACTTGTAAAGAAGCTCCACCCAGTTCACTGTGACCTAAGGGATGTTTTCAGTCGAGGTTTCTTTTCGCGTATTTTTAGCTCATGTTTCTCAAAAACGAACTTGAGAAGGTTGACAGTTTTTAAGCAGTCCCACACATCCCCCGATTTTTGTAGTGATTGATGATTCTTAGATGT